AGAGACTATGTTTTATATACATTGTAAACAAATGATTACAGTTGGTTGTAGAACTTAACAACTCCTAAAGTAACAGCAAAATGTCTTTAATTAATCTGTGTTCTTCTGTTCACTACACTGTTTTCTTGTAGTCAACAATTGGAGCCATAAGGTCATCTGGAAATGTTCCAAGAGTAGCATTAGTGGTAATAAATAGTGATAGGTGTTTACTGTATAAGTTGAGATCCAAAGCCAACAACTGCAAAGCATTTGAGAAGAGTCCATTTCCACAGAAGGAAAATGATACCAGGTGTAAACTAGATCCACAAAAACAAATTTGAAATAAAGAAAGAAGAAGGAAGACTACCAGAAATGACAAAGCTCTTTTACAAGAAGACTAGGAAGTTGACAATGCAGAGCTGATGTTGGGTTATTTTGGGATGATGATGGAGTTTGTTTTTATAGAACCAAAATGTGGTAGCCACTGCAGAATTCTAAGGGAGATTTTGCAGTGGAAACCTCAGTAGAATACTCGGGATAAAGGCTTGTTGAAGCACTTCTTGACATTGTGTATGTATCCATCTTTTATTTAAATTTTCTTTCTTTCTTTCTTTTATTTATTTAATTTTTTAGAGACAGAGTTTTGTTCTTGTTGCCCAAACTGGAGTGCAATGGTGTGATCTTGGCTCACTGCAACCTCTGCCTCCTGGGTTTAAGTGATTCTCCTGCCTCATCCTCCCTAGTAGATGGAATTACAGGCATGCACCACCATGCCCGGCTATTTTTTTTATTTAATTTTTTTTCTTGTGTGTTCATCTTTTAATGTTTTCATCAGCAACATTATCAAACTGTCATAACACAACCAGAATCCCAGAAAGTAATCATGAAGAGTAGAGAAATTCCTAGAACAACAGAAAGCCCAGAAGACGTTGTGACTGATTCTTCCCATCTTCTACCCCTGCAAACCAGCATAGTGCTGGGTACATGGTGTATGCTCAACAAATAGCAGTGGCCAATAATGAATGATAGGTTAATGCACCCAAACTGGAATCATTCATTTGACAGTCACCTGCCTGATGCCAGTCATTAAGTGTAGCGGGAGTTGCAAAAGGAACACAAAACATGTGACCTAAAACCCTTAGCTTCTAAGTAGGAACACTGGCAGACATGTGAAACCACCAAGGAAAACAGGGGCTCTGTAATAGCAGCCTGTCTTCATAGGATGCCCTGCCTCTTTCATTTCCCAGGAAGATAACATTTCACTTGGTAATAACCAAGTCCTCAGAGAGGTTCTTATCATCCCTTGAAAGATCTTTCTCCCAATGTCCTTCAGTTTCCAAGAGAAAATAAAAATAGACCCTTATTAATAGTTCTGTTGTCCCAGAACTAAAACACACCCACAATTCCTATGAAACCATCCATTTTGTTTGCTTAGATGTTGTGGGTCCTTCCAGAAGGGCAGAGAGTGGGGAGACGAGGCCATGTGTTATTTGATCTTTTGAGCAGTAAGGGTGGTATAATGGGGAGGTTGTGTTCGCCACTCGCAACTAGTGAGTTCATATCTTGCCAGATACAAAGCATCAAGGATAAGGACATTTTCCAAAACAGCCTTTGATTGTTCTGGTACCAAAAAAAAAAAAAAAAAGCAAACCTTAAGAAAATACTTGTAAAGAAAGGGAAATAGGCTTAGAGAAAATACCCCAGTTCCCAGACTTTATTTGGCAGGGAAGAAATGCAGTGAAGCCAAACAAATATTTCCACACCCCCAAGATGCCTTTTTTTTTTTTTTTTTTTTTTTGCCCTCTTTTTAAATCTCAAGTCTTAACACAATATTCCACATTTGGTGTTACCCAAATGTCCCAGACTTCACTAGTCCATGACCAAAGAATTAGATCATATTTACTTTTAATGCCCAAGCTTCTCCCACCTAACTGTCAGAAATTATCCCTCTGCCCCATAGTGCCCCACAGCTATTGTGAGGGGTTCCATGGTGCCAACTCTGTGTGCTCACAAACAGACCCCAATTTTCCTATCCCAGCCTCCCCCTCATGTCCCCTTGTCACTACCTCTGCTGCTGGGACCCTCATGAAACTGCCAACCCATGGGGCAGAGCTGCCCCCTGCCAGGGGATTGCTGGTGCCATGCACTGCCCCTGGCATGGCCTTGGTGGGGGACACTGCTCTCATCTTTATCCTCCAGGATATATACTCTTTCTCATTACTAAACAACAGGCTTTGAAATTAAAGTATGCCTTTTGATGGGATTTATTGGAATATTAGAGGTAGTATAAGAGATATAACATAGAGAATGATTTTTAACCACCACATGGGCCCAGACTTGTCAGTGACCAGATCTAGCTAATGTCCAGGTCAGGTCATGCTTGGCCTCCTTCCACATGGCCAAGGGAAGCTCATCCCTGCCCCAAAATGGTTTCTTCCCAGAATGAGTAACAGTGGAGACATCCATTCCCTCCACTCACCCCCTCAGTATTTGTTGAATGTCTGTTATGTTCCAGGCACTGTAGTAGGCACAGAAGATATAGTGGGGACCGAAATAGCCATGGCCCAGTCCTCAAGGAATTTAAAGTCTGAAACTGAAACAAATAAACAAAACCTGAACTAATAATTGCATAATCAAATGTTATTAGTTATAAAATATCGTAAGTGCTATAAAGCAAAAATTGTAGGGTACCAGGAAAAAGTCTAATAGAGGAAGACAATTCAGATTAGGAAGGTCAAGTAAGACTACTCAAGTGGCTAGCAAGTGGCATTAAACTTAGTACTGAAGGCTGGATAAGAATTTGCTCCATGAAGAACTGGTCAAATAGTGTTCCCAGGCAGCAGTGATTGCTGATATGAAGTGCCTATTGGAGAAAGGGGCTTGGGAAGACCAGTGTGGCTGAAGGCAAGAGAGTGGGGGCACGGTGATGAGATGAGGCTGCACAGGGAGGCAAGAGCCATCCACATAGGCACTGGAAGGTCATGACAAGGATTTGGGATATCATCCTAGGTATAATGGGTTGCTCTTGAAGGGCTTTGAGCCAGAGAGTGAATGCCATGGTTTGATCTGTACTTTAAGGACATTCTTGCAGCCTTATGGAGAAAGAATGGAAAAGGAGGCAAGAGGCCAGTCAAAAGATAGCAGGTGACTACCCCAGTGACTAAGCAAGAGATGATGGCGGCTGGGACAATGGTGTTGGCCAAAGAGATAGAGAAGTAGTCCATTTCAAGATATGTTTGAAGTAGAACTAACAGAATGTGGTGATGGTGAGAGGAAAGAAAGTCAAGGTAGTGGATCAAGGAGGGCTTCCAGTTTCTGACTTGGGGAGCTGGGTGTGTGGTCTGATACACGAGTATTGAAAAGACGATAGTCAGTTTCTGAAGTCTAAGTTACTTGGTATTAAATATTCCACCTATGAAGCATCAACAGCCCAGGGACAGGCACAGGCTGTTTTCAGTTTGTCTTTTAAAATCTCCAGCAGTCTGGCGATCCACCCTTACCCATGGTCTCCCCATCATATCAGTTTTAACAAAAGATACTATTTTCTTTAGAATTCCCCCTCCAAGAAATGCCAGGATAAACATGAGAGAAAAAGAGAGTATTTATCATACTGATTAAGAGCAGGGCCTCTGGGATTAAATCCCACCTGTGCCTTAGGTAAGATGGGCCTTGGGTAAGTTCTGTAACCTCTCCGTGACTCAGTTTTCTTATCTGTGAAATGGCAGTAACAATAGTACTACCTCAAAGAGCTGTCATAAGGCTTAAGTGGATTGATTGTATTTCATGTATTTAGACAGAGTCTGGCACCATAAGTTCTCAAAGCCGTAAGTTCCCAGACAGTGTTAGGAATTGCCATTGCCTTTCACTGATGCAAGGTTCCCACTTCTCTAGCATTGTTCCATGCTACAGGCTGCTTTGCAGAGGAGAAAGCCTTTTTTGAGTCAGGTAGATTTGACTTCAAGTCTCCACTCTCCTACTTAACCTCTCTGAGCCCAAGTTTTCTTACCTGTAATGTGAGGACAGTAATACTCACTTTCAGTGGTTATTATGAGGATGAAATCAGAAATCTTTGGTCACTACCTTGTATGTAGCAGATGTTCAATAAATGTTAGATTTTTTTCCTATTCAAAAGGAGTTTCTCTTCCTAATTTAAATAGAGCATCTCCACCCTTACTACTAAAAAGACCCCAGTAGGAAGAAGGCAAAATTTTAAACCCTTCATAGCGTTATAGTTTATGAATAAGGTATGTGAGTCAGAAATTATACTTTATTGCCCTTTTTGGCACAATATGGAGCTATTTAAAAGACAGGAACATGAATATAGACTTCTTACATCCCAGAGAGAATGGTCCACAAAGATTCCATTTGGCCCCCAAGTCATTTAGATTTCCCACTGCCAGGTGGACTCTTTCCCAATGCCATATCCCACTTCCTCTTCCTGCCCGCACTGTCACCTTGAACAATCAAAGTAAGAAAACACAGCCACCGGCGCACAGAAAACACTCTCGGCTGTCCTGGAAAGTGGAGATTCCTTGGGCTTTTATTTTCCGTTGCCTTTGGCACACCCGTGCAGTGGCAGTTTGCTGTGGATGCCACCCTCTCCCACCTGCGTCCTTGCGGTGGCCTTTCCCTGGGTTCTCGGTTCTTACCTCTTTCTGGCTCACATGAGCCATTTGCATTGTTGCCTGAGTTGCTGTATGTCCCATCAGGAGCAGCATTTAAAGACTCATTTCCAGTGTAGAAGGAAAACACTGTCTGTGTTAAGGGAAAGGAAAGTGTTTACAAGCAGATGGAGATTCCTGCAGAAGAGTCTTTCCCTTAATCCTTGAAATCTCACTCATCCTGTGCTATGGCTGACCCCGAATGGATAATGTAAAGGCCTTCCCTTTGATAGGCTTTTGGGGAATTACTGGGACTATACAGCAGTATCCATGGAGGTAAGAAGAAGACCAGTACATATGACTACAATAGCAAAGTAAAAAATGCTCAAATAAGACTAACAGAGTGTCTTTGGATTTCAGAGAACAAATCCGTCAAGGCCTAGAAGAACTCCAGAAAGTTCTGCCAGGAGGAGACACTTACATGCATGAAGGATTTGAAAGGGTAATTTTAAAACAACTTTAAATCCAAATATAAAGCATGATATGGAAATATCAACATGGGGTGACTGATGAGATAAGGCACATATATTAAGAGGGCTGAATAGCACCCAATAGCAAGAGAGTACATTTTCTTCCCATAAGCTTGTACACTGATAACTCTAGCCAAAATAACTAAACACATGGATTCCCTTCCTCGTTCCCTGACCCTGATGAATGGTTTGTTAGTTAATGGTTGGCTGGCAGTCACAAATTCACGCCACACACAAGTCCGGCCATTCCAAAAATGTCCTTTGTTGGATGTCAGCTTCAGTGATTGAGGCAGAATTTCAGGGACTTCAGCTTTAAGGGAAACAAGTACTAGGCCATAAGGAATAAGACATCGATCCATGTTGACAACTATAGCTGTCTGTCACTTAACAAGGATTTCAACAAAATGCCTTGTTAGGCGATTTTGTCATTGTGACATCACCGTGTGTACTTACACAAACCTAGATAGTATAGCCTATTATACACCTAGGCTATATGGTATAGCCTATTGCCCCTATGCTACAAACCTATACAGCATGTTACTCTACTATACATTTTAGGCAATTGTAACACTAATGATATTTGTTTCTAAACATAGAAATGGTAATGCATTGAACTACAGCGTTACCACAGCTAAGATATCACTAGGTGATTGGAATTTTTCAGTTCCGTTATAACCTTCGGGGACCACTGTCATATTTGTAGTCTGTCCTTGACTAAAACATTGCTATGCAGCACATGACTGTATACTACTTAAATGAGAGGTAACTTTACACGGATATCAGCCACTGATAATTGAGCAAAGCCTGGGTGAATTACATAAGAAATCAAGACTGAATTGCCTGCATATTCAATAACAGAGCCCATTATCCACTATGGTTTTTGGAGTGGCAAACAGTGGTTATAAGTCTAATGGCTCTTTCATATGTTTTTCAGGCCAGTGAGCAGATTTATTATGAAAACAGACAAGGTAAGACTATAGTATGAACTACCATTATGAATTATTTAACTTTTTCCGTGTTTGTTGCTGAAAAAGTGCTTCAGTCATTTCATGTTTCAAAAGACATGTATGATATTATCTGTAATTCTTAGATACACATTTCATCACAAACAAGGAATGCATAGAAAAGTGGCATGTATTGGGTCAAATTCCACTGTCCTGTTGATGCCACGAAAAGTTTTATAAAAGTAATTAAGATCCCATTATGGCCACTGTCTAATTCCCATTAACAGTTTTGCATGTTGAATTCATTAAATTAGTAAATACCTGCATAAGTTAGTAAAGTCTTGGATTTTTATGTAAAATTTGATTTTCTTGTCCTTCTCTGAACTCCAAGCCTCTTCCTTACCATGACTGGACATAACATTAAGATCAAGGTACCAGTTTGATACCGCATGAACAGAAAACCAAACACCGCATGTTCTCACTCATAGATGGGAACTGAACAATGAGAACACTTGGACACAGGAAGGGGAACATCACACACTGGGGCCTATTGTGGGGACGGGGGAGGGAGAAGAGATAGCATTAGGAAATATACCTAATGTAAATGAGGAGTTAATGGGTACAGCACACCAACATGGCACATGTATATATATGTAACAAACCTGCACGTTGTGCACATGTGCCCTAGAACTTAAAGTATAATTTTAAAAAAAAAAGAAAAAAGAAAAGTAAAGAAGCATGCTAAGTCCTTCAGCAGAGCCCATGGATCAGCAAGAATTGTTCACCATACAGGGACTTCCTGCAGCTAATAGAATATTCCTACTGGAGTGATATTTGCCATATATGCTTGTGGTCTTGAGTTAGAATGTCTAACTTGAGTACTAATTGAGCAGAAATGTCAACCCTCTTGGAATAGAGTAACATCTGGGTCTTGCTAAATCCTATTAAACTAATTATTGTATAGAAAAAAAAAGATACCAGTTTGATTTAAACTTTCCTATATTTAAATGAAAAAAACTGCATAAAATATACTTAGTAGAGTGCCTAGCACATAGAAATTTTTATTATTATTTTAGCTATTATTACTACAGTGTCTTTCGTGAGTAGCATTTCTGTATCTCAGTCAAATCTCTTAAAAAAGAGATTCAATATTACACTAGAGATTTTCCTTCCAGGCCTGTAGAAGTGTCCATTTCTTGTTGCATCCTAAAATGCAACAAACAGAACAGACTCAATATCAATACCGAATCTTGCTAATGTAAATCAACCATGAACATTGACATGAGAAGCCTAAAAATCACTGAAAGAATTTTAGTAGGTTTTGCCAACTGCTATAATTCTTCCAGTCAACTTGGAAATCAGGATGACTATTACTTTCACCAAACTGTCTTCAAGGGGTGGTGTATGTGGTCCATTACAGCAGGTGAGAAGGACTCCGGAACAGCCCAGGTGGGAGTTTTCTCACAGCTTGGGCAACAGTTATGTGTCTGCTAACAGAAAATAATCACACTTGATTCACCGGTGCTACTCCCAAATGTTGGTTTAGTGACCATTTCACCAGGTTTGGCCATTCTTCGAGATGAGGCTGAGAAATGCGAAAGCAAAACCTATTGTCCCTAAAGTCTGTCCCCATGGAGGGTCCTTCTTCATGCTGGAGTCGCTTCCAGGCCCAAAATAAAAGTTGGTGATCCTCGTAATATTGACTTTGGGTGGTTGAACTCATAAGAGGTCAAATCCTGGGACTGAGAGGGTGTTTCCCTGGGTGGGGCAGGGTGGACTGAGCCGGTCTGTATTGTGTTAAACAGGATACAGGACAGCCAGCGTCATCATTGCCTTGACTGATGGAGAACTGCATGAAGATCTCTTTTTCTATTCAGAGAGGGAGGTAAGCAACGGCCTAAACATATCCGTGGAACAGGGTTTCTCCTTTCTAAAATGGGCCGCACTCTCTCTACTCAGGTAATAGGGTTTCTTTGCAAATCCCCTGAATTAAATAGTTTCATATGTAAAAATAATAATAATAATTTGTGTTCTACAAGTGAATTTTCATGTCTTACACATGGTAAATGTTTTCCCCTTTCAAAATTTTTGCATATTACTCTGTTTTGAAGGATTCAAAATATCTACCCTGCCTTTATTGATGGCATTATATTGCTGTAACAGTTTTTAAGTACTGTACATCACTTATAAATAAATAAACATTGATAGAATTTTTCCTTATATTTTCTACTAAAACAGGAGGAAGGGAAAGAATTACTTGATATATGTAAGAGCCAATCTTGTCAGACTGTATTAATCATTGAGATTTTCACTCTAAGAACTGATGTTAAACAGCAGTTGGTAGCAAAGTTAAATTGTCATCTCTCTTTTAATAGTTCCTTTTTTTCCTTTTCTTTGTGTTCTCAAAAATTATTCCTCAAGGCAAGTGGAAAAATTCTCTCAATGAAGATTTTACCTTGTGTAAATAGAAAAAGAAGTTTGCTGATGAATTGAATACTGATGTTTATACTTAAGAAATTCTTTCAAGTTTCACATTTGAGCTATATGCATAATTAGTATAAAAGGAAGCAAGTTAACCATAGAAATGTATTGAAACCATAGCCTTATTAGTGACAAAGGGTCATTCAGGCCCAAGGTAGAAAGAAACAGCATCCTAGAGATGCAGGCTCTGGAAGAGGAGTTAACGATAGCATCACACTTTCCTCAAGCTCTTAACAACTATTTACTTTAAATTCAGCTCTTTCTGCAAACACAAATTATATATTCATTCATTTATTCAGTGTTAACTGAGAGCTTGGCATATACTTGACCATTTGCTAGAAACTAGAGGCACAGAGGTGAGTGAGACACAGCTGCTGCCCTCATGAGTCTTACCATGAAATAATGGTCAGCCTTTGGAAGCCACCACTGGCAGAGGACTTAGGGAAATTATGTAGGTAAGCTCTCCTCCCACTAGTACAGAAAGTAACTCTAACGAGGAAATACAAAAGGTAATAGGACAGACATTCCCTCAGCATTTGGAAAATAATGCATCTCTGTATTTGAAAGTAGAAACTCACTATGTGATGGGAGGGCAAGATGCTTGTTTGGGTGCCAAATAACAGTCAAATAAAGTAAAAACCCTAATAAGGAAAGAAATGAAACTAAAATAAATGATGGGGTGTCAGAGGCTTAAGATAGGGGTTAGTGGGAAGGAATTTTAGGTATGGCACATACAAACTTGGGAAAATATTCAGAGTGCCAATAGAAGGAGACCTTCTGAAAAAGAAAGATAAAGCACAAGATATAAAGAAATTGAACTTTTCCCTTCTTGACAATTCTATATAAAGTCCAACTGGAGGAGAAGAATCACAGAGTTGTTGCAAATAAGGCTGGGGCTACACTGAGTCTAAAAGTTTATTTTATCCCAAAAAAGCAGGAAAATTTCTAACATGAAGGAAAAAAAGACATATGTTTTTGTCCTTTCTAGAATTCAGTGTTAAACAGAAGTGGATTTGAGTACTAAGACAGGGAAAAAATAACACAATCAAAATACATATGCATATATTGAGCACTCACTGTATGTTTGCTATCAGTTGTTAAGCACCCACTGTATGTGCCAAGGATTTCCAATTTTTTTTCCATTCTGAAACACAGGAGAATCTGGAAATCAGATTATCAGAGGCTTTAATAAATCCAATATTGAAATTGAGCCAAAATCTGGGTATTATTCATTATGTTGCCATCCCAGTGCTTAATTGTAGAGATCATGGATTTAGCTATTCAAATATGGACCACAATTTCCATTAAACCGCCTTATTCTGTAGGAATGAAAAAGGCTTTATTCACAACATGTGCTGACATTCGTGAGTATCTATGTGGTTCTAGCCTTGTGTGAGGAGCTTTGTAAATGTTCTCGTTTAATCCCCAAAACACTACACAGAGCAAAGCCAGGGGTCAAACTCAACTATTTCAAGTTCCAAAGGCCCCATTCTTTTATGATATCGTGCCCCCATTACAAAGAAACGTATGTCAGTAAAAATCCATCGAAGGAATAGAAAAGGTAATCATTTCCCCAGAATATTTGACTTAGCCTGCAGTTTTCCTTTCCTCCCCTCATCTTTCAAAGCCCTTCATCAAGACTCTAGTGGGTCTTTTCAGATCCACCATGTGTTATGTTAGAATGTGATGTCCACTGAAGTCTGAGCTTCTTGGGGACCGGGATTGCCTTCTCCAATATGGTACCTAGCACATGGTAGGTGCTCATTAAATACCTCATCATTGAAGTGAGTCAGGTAGCTCCAAGATGAGTTCATTTGTCACTGCTTCTCTTTCTAATGTCCTTTCTTTCCTTTTCCCAGGCTAATAGGTCTCGAGATCTTGGTGCAATTGTTTACTGTGTTGGTGTGAAAGATTTCAATGAGACACAGGTATGGTCATGGATTTCCTCAGGTTTGGAGCATACTGAGCTTGTGAATGATGAAGAATGTGTTCAGTGCAGAGGGCAGATCAATGTAATAAATGCCCCTGAAATAGGTTATTTTTCTAGAAATGCTAAACAGGAAGGAATTACTGGTTGTATAAGGAAAATGAACTCATTTGCTGATGCTCTTGAGGTCTTCAACAGAGACCATCAAGGCAGCATCTTTCTTGGCAAACATTAAATTGCCAGAATGTCAAAAGATATCTGAATTAACTTGGAAAACTTGTTTTTTTTCTGTTTGTGTTTTGAGACAGGGTCTCACTCTGTCACCCAGCCTGGGGTACAATGAGCTGTCTCAGCCCACTACAGCCTCTGCCTCCCAGGCTTAAGTGATGCTCCTGCCTCAGTCTCCTGATTAGCTGGGTCTACTGGTGCACATCCTGAGTAGCTGGGACTACAGACGCACACCACAACACTTGGCTATTTTTAAAAATTTTTTGTGGAGGTAAAGCCTCATTGTATTGCTCAGGTTGGTCTCTAACTCCTGGGCTCAAGTGATCCTCCCAATGTGGCCTCCTAAAGTGTTGAGGTTATAGGCATGAGCCACCACACCTGGCCAAATTTAATTTGACAAGTATGATTTTCTTATTCAAATAACAAATGTTCCCTTTCACCCGTGAAAAATGCAATGCATTTTCAACACAAAAATATGGAAATAATTGGACAAGTGGGCAAAAAAGTATGTATAAGTGCATATAATAAGCAAGTTGTAAAAACTTACTAACAATCTAAATACATGTTCCTCGTGTAGTTCATAGTTTCTTTTTGTTTTAATGGCATAGGAAAATGCTCATAATATATCATTAAGTGAATAAAACAGGATTACAAAGCAGTGAGAATAGTATGTGCCCACTTCTAAAATAAACATTTGTATGTTCGCATAGAAGAAGTATGAATGGTATCTATCAAATGGCTAATAAAGATAGATAGATGATAGATGAACAGACAGAAGGATTATGAGTAACCTTTGTTTTCTTTTTGTTTTAACTCTGCTGGATTTTCCTAAGTTTTTACAATGAGTAAGTATTACTTTTGCAATCAGTAAAAACAATAAAACATATTTGTTTAGAAGCCATACACACCAGCTGACACTGACTCTGTGGCAGTCACAGAACCACACAGAGATCTGGGGGCAGACAAGCCCTACAGCGGCTTTTCCTGGCCCTCAGTTTCCTGCTCCATAAAGCAGGAGCAACCGAACCAACTGCAAGGGCCCTTTCCTTAAGGGCAGTTTGGGTGAAAGGTGAAGGTGGCCTCACCCAACACCAAAGCTTGAATTTAAAGTTGCTCTGAAAGGGAACTTGAATCTGCTCGATTCAGATAAAGTTGCCAACAGGAATTTGGGTGAATGGGAGAAAAATGAGCCCATGGCCTGGCCCCAGATTTATAAACATATCAACCCAGGCCAAGCATTCATCAAGCTGGGCACTCTTACCTCTGCTCCCGAGGAGAAAAGTATTAAAACAAATGTAAAAGCTGGAGCCAACCCTGGGCCTGCTCCAGAGAGGCCACTGGTGAGCTTGTTATTACTGATGGCTTTTCAGGGCAGCCCCTGAGCCCAGTGAAGGCCTCATATTCCCCTGGGTTCTGAATATAACTAGAGCCTCTTAGCCCCAACGGCTTTCCTAAATTTTCCACATCCAAGCCTAACAGTCTCCCCATGTGTTTGTGTATTTGCTGTGTTCTCAGCTGGCCCGGATTGCGGACAGTAAGGATCATGTGTTTCCTGTGAATGACGGCTTTCAGGCTCTGCAAGGCATCATCCACTCAGTAAGTAGAGCTCTTGCTCTGAGACTGGACATTCAGGCACCTTCTGTCTCCAATCTGCTATTAATACCCAAATTCCATCTCTCCAAGCCTGGTGTTTTTCTGCTTGAGAGAACATCATTTCTTCCCATATCTTTGTGTCTGCCACGTCCCATCTCTCCCTTCTGCCTTTCACACATGTCTTTTCTCAATTGTACCCTACAATAGAAAATTAACAATTGAAAGGGGCACTGCTCTGGCAGTGAGCCAAGCTTCAGGAGGCCCTCTCCGTTCTAACTGGGCAGACTGTGGCTGGTGGTTTACGCTTGACCACCTCAGCTTTCCCACTGTAACTGAACGCAAGCTGCCTTCAGAGCACTTGTAGGCTGGACTTACATCACCTGGCCATTGGATGCACTTTAGACCAGGTTGTCCATTGAAGTCATCTGCAGAGATTTAAAAAGCACTGCTACCTGGGCATCTGATCTGGGGTGCGGCCTGGACCTCAAGAGTTTTTTTAAATCTCCCCAGGTGATTTTAATGTTGAGACAAGGTTGAGAACCACTGCTTTAGAACTATAATCCCCAAATACACGGGCTCCAGTGCTGTCCAGGGTTTACACAGTCACCAGTCCTCCTTCACACATAGGTGATTTTCTACACACCTTTTCCTGAATGGTAAACAGGACACTGGCTTCCAGGGCCTCTATTCTCCACCTCCCCCACACAGGCAAGGCCCTTGGTCCAGCTGGAATATTGGCTGCTGCTGTCTTAAAGTCGCAGCCAGCAGGTCAGTATGCGTGCTGCACCCGCAATGATGTTCAGATGCTCTGCAGCCTCCACCTTTTAGGTTTTGTGACCAGGCAGGCATCTGTGATCTTCACTGGAAGCTTACCAGGCTCCAGACTTGGGGTCTAGAATGCAAATTTGGAGCTCAGGGGATCGCCTTCCTCTTAAGGTGTCGAGGGGCTCTTGATCCAGGGGTTACCGGCCAGGGGCTCAGCATCTGCCAACCCTCCCAGACCAACCCAGGAAACTTCCAGCATGGCTGTGCCTCCATGCTGCTCTCCCTTCAGGGTTTGCTAGGAGCTCCAGCAGAGTGGAATGCAGAGTGAGTAGTAAGAAGCTTAGAGCCCGGCAACCCAGAGTTTCACTGGCCCACATGCTTAACACTTACAGGTCCTTGGACATTTCTTGTTGGAACCAGGGACTGATGATGGCTTATATCCTTGCTTGAGGATTTCAAGGATCACTGGTGAAAATCCTAATATTTTTCCAGACACATAATAGGCACTCAAAGCATATGAATTATTGCCTCTTCTACTTCCCTTCCCCATCATATGAGGGATATTATGTCAACTTCCCTTGATCCCCTAAACATTCTTGAATAGGCGTAAAAATCACTTGAGAATTATGTTTGCAATACCTATTCCCAAGAGATTCTATTGCATTGAGTTTCAGGTGGATCCAAGGGATCCATATATTTCAAATCTGCTTTAAAAAAAAAAAAAAGTGCCCCAGGTATGCTTTTAGAACATTGACATATCTGACCTTAAGCATACAGAATTGTGAAAAATCATCCCACCTTAGGTTGGGAATTTCTATCTTAATTATGTTCCGATGACAGTTGTTTTATTCAAGAAGTGCTTGTTTGCAAAGAATATATGCCTACTCAGACTACCTTAACCAGAAAGTGGAAATTATTGATAGCATAGAGAATTATCAGACCCAATTATTGGTCCACAGGTGAAGGACCCCTACTGTAAATCATTTCTGGGGTCACTGTGGCATACGTGACAGTGTAAGCAACAAGAACTACGATAACCATGTAAAACAACAACCCAAGGGATGCAAAACATGATTAATGGCAGGACTGGGGGCCAATCATGGATCCTTAAGAAGCTCAGAGGTGGATTACTCTGGACAGGAGTCCTCATGAGAAGGCAGGGCAGACCTGAATCATTGAAAGACCAGGGAAAGGTGATGGGTAGCACCAAAGGAAAGATATTATGACCTCAGCCTAGAGGCTGGAAGACAGAAAGGCCTATTCAGGGGTCAGTAATAATAACACCTGTCTATCTGGTGGGACAGTTTGGGTAAAGGAGTCAGGAGTAATGAAAAACAAGCCTCGACATTGGGTTGAAATCAGATTAACACAAGCCTTGAAGGGGTTTTGCCTCTAACCTATAGGCAGTGGGTGTAATTACTGAAACAAGTTAAGAAAATAATCTGATGGCAGTGCTTGTGTACATAGGAGGGAGACTGGGGATACCCAGAGACTGTAGGCCAATTAGGAGGCAATAGTCCTGCCTTAAGATGGCTAGATTCTGAAAAAGGACAACTCTTACCTGTTCAAACGTCCTCATGAGTCGTGTGCCTAACTCCACGTGTTGTTTCCCACACAGATGACGGGACTCTTTTTGTATGAATAAATCACTGTTGTCCTTGAATACACCAGCCTTAGCAACTCACCCAAGCTCAACATGAGCCCACATGTTTGTATAACTTCCTCCATCCCCAAATGGAAATAACTGCAAATATCTTTAAGAAATTTTAGCAAAACCATCATTCAAAATAGGAAGAAAACTAATTTGAGACTTCAGTCTCCAAACTTTTAGCTGAATGATAACATTCTTGCGAGCTTTTATCTGTGAGTTATGCTAGTGGTTTTGATCCTTCCAGTACTGGAAACCCATGTTTACGGCAGTTGTTCATTCTCTTGCTTGGACAGAGAAACAGGGACAAGTAGAGAGAGCTCATCTTTCTCAAATCAGACAGAAATAATTATGGCCTAAAAGTTGGCTAAATATTTTTTAAGAAGTAGATTCATTTCCCCTTTTGGATACTGAAAAGAAAACTCTCAATTCCCCCCCCCCCCCCCGCCCCTTTGAAGCTTCTATCCCAGCTTGTTCCCATGGATGTTGTTTTGTGGCTGGTTATTTTCTCATAATAAAATAGGACTGGGCTTAATTATCCAAAATAAGATTGCAGAGCAGCTTCTGATAAGCTCAAATTCTTCACAAAGTTTTCTGCCCATAATGCCCATATTTTTAAACCTTAAATTAATATGCAGGGGCTAGTATTCATTCATACATCAAATACTCATTGAAAACCTTTTATGGCAGGCTCTGACCATTCAGTAAAACAACTAAAGCCGGTAGAGGTTCTGTCCTGGTAGAGCTTACAATCCAGTGGGAGAGACACATTCAAAACAAGTAAATAAATAAATATGTGGAATTAAAATTGTGATAACTCGAATAAAAGAAATAACATGGCCATGAGATTAAGAGTAAAAGGGTTGACAAAGAACCCAGGTTCCTTTGAAGAGATGAACTGAAGGACGCAATGGAGGCATCCATTGGAAGGGCATGGATAGAATGTTCTTGGCAGAGCATGGCCCAGGACAGTGCATAGGAGAATGAAAGACCAATGCTTAAAGTGAAGAGTGGCAGAAGATGAAAAGAAGAAGCAGGTAGAAGCTAAATCGAAGGACAATAGGAAACTATAGCTAGATATAGAGTCTGATGGTAGAGCAATCAGGCTTGAAATCAAGACTCAGGAAATCTAGACATCATGACACTCAGAATCAATAGCATTTCGGCCTTTGAAGAAGAAAACCAACTCTGACTTGAACTTGTTCTCTCTATCAGCTCCTCTACCAGGCACTTGACCACCACTCTCTGAAGAAGGATTAATTATCCCCATTTTATAGGTGAGGAAACTGAGGTGCAAGAAGGTTGGAGAAACTGCCCCCAGGTCTGCCCTCTCATAATGGTGGAGTGGGGAATTTGAACTCAGCTCTGGTTCCAGAGATTCTGCTCTTTCCATGGCATTTAGCCATGAATGTCTGAGGAAATGGAAAATCACCAGTGGATTACCAGGAGCCAGTTGCCCAGGGCTTGGATTTATCAAATCCCCAGATGCTCTGCTTCCTCAATCTGATGGTCATGTTTTGATCTTTTCACTGTTCTTCAATCCTGCCTCCTTCAAGAGGAAGTACTTATGTGTCAAATTTTTTCAAAACGTTCCCGCTTGTTTTCCATTTTAGTTTCTTAACTGAGAGAGATAGGAAAAGGGCAGAAGGAAATTAACAGCTGTAGAGAACTTGCCTTGGAACAAGACATTTTCCCTTTTTCCCATATAATATGATTTCATTTAAAAATCGTAACAATGCTGCAAAGTACATATTCCTATTCTGATTTTACAGATGAAGAAACTGAAGCTCAGATAACCTGCCCAAGACCACACAGCCCTAAGGGGAAAGCAGGGTTAGAACCTGCTTTTTCCTTGACTCTAGAGCCCATGATTTTTCCTACCTCTATTATCTTAGGAAGGTAAAAATAATCAAAACCACCATTCAGTAAGTTCTTACTATGTGCCAGGTACTGTGCAAATCATTTCACATAATCATCTCCTTGAATCTTCACAGGTACCATTTGATATAGAAATCATTACCCCATTTATAGAAGTAGATACTAAAAGTTCAGAGAGATTCACTAACTTGTCCAAGGCCACAGAGCACAGTGAATAGTGATCCCGAATAGACTCAAGTCTTTCTAATGCCCACGATGTGAATGCCCACTGTGCTCTACTGAACAATGCAGGCAGGCCAGGAAGCAGCCCCATTTCAGAGAGGAAGACACTGAGGACCAAAAAGGTGAACTGACTTGACAGAGACAAGACCAGAATCCATGTGGCCTGATCCGAATACACTGTGGATGGGCAGGGGAGCACTTTGCCTTTTACTACCAGGTGGAGAACACCTCCAGAAATCATTACTGCCCAACAGATGAAGTACCATTGTCCTGGGAAGCTGGAGAATTGACACAGGCTGAAAGGAACATCTCCCCTTCCACACTTGCACAGGACTCTGAGCACCATGACAGTCTTCCCACTCGCTTCTGCAGAATACGGTGATAAAATTACAAGAAGTCTGGATGGTTGGAAGATTGTAGCCCTTTAAGCCAGTAACACTGTAAAGGAAGAAATTATTCCTGTGCCTTCTCATATTGTGGCTTCTTCAGG